ACATACATACATACATACATACATACATACATACATACATACATACAGTAGGTGTCAGGAGTGTTGTTTCAGGAGCAGAACCCAGTGGTGCAGGCAGGACTCTGAGGTACGAGGAGTAAATTAAAATATTTTTAATGAACACAAAAACAAAATGCTGACGTGGCAGCTTGCTCACAGAACGTAGGAAAACTCATGAGATGATCAGGGACTCAGGGAAACCAGAAGACAAGACAAACACCTGATGATCACGGATGATGCCGCCGGCAATGAGTGACACAAAGACACAGACTTATATATACACACACACAGAGTGATAATCACAAACACCTGGGTGACACGAGGGTGGAAATAATCAGGACACTTAACAGGGAAACCAGGGAGTGTAAGGATGGGAACCCACCACCAGGGGGCACCATCCTTATAGTAGGTACATACATAGGTATATACGTACGTACGTACGTCCATCATACCTACAACACTCCTAATGCCTCTTCATATTGTTCTTGCTTTATCATCACCTGCTGCCGCAAACATAAAGGTAATATTGTTTTTTGTCTATGTTTGTGTGTGTATTATGCGCATATTTGCATGTTAGAAAAATATCATGAACCATGTGTCTTTTTTCTTGGAATGCTCAGAAATAAATTATTGGATGCGCCTCCATGATTTACTAACTAGAGCTGATACAATTCAAGAAAATTAGTCAGTTTTACAGATATTTAGCTAATATGGTGATTGATATGGTGAGAGCTGAGAGTCAACCACAATATATTATCTGAGCTCTAACACACTGCAAGGAAATCTTGAAATATTGCATACAATTGTACAAGGTTTAACCAAAATTGTTATAACTCCATATTCTCTAAACATGAGGCGGTTTAGGCTTAAATTCTGGTATGTAAGGTAGCAGGTGAAAGTCATCCCGTCAAAGAAGGAATTGTTTGTGCATTCAACACGTCTAGTAATAACTGAAAATTAACTTTATATTTTTTCATCACAGACTATGCTTTTCTTTATATTCCCACAAAAAAAGAACAATAACAACAAAAAAAGATGTTTAATTTAGCCTAATCTGGAATAGATAAATCTAACATTATTATGAAATACAAAATTGTCAACTACTTTTTGAAAATGGTTACAGTTTTCATGAAATGTGACACAGTGTAGACTTGAGTAGCAAAAAGTAATAATTGAGCATTCAAATATGATTTTAATATTGATTACAAATAACGCAGACAAAACTGTCAACTTTTTTTATGTTAATCACTCGCTTGATTCACTAAAGCCCCCAGTATATTCCTGCATACGTCCATACACATACGTACGCACATACGTACACGGAGGTACGAGCGTACCCCGCAGGGCATGTCCGTGCAAAGCTCAATTTTATGGCCGCATACGCGGTGTCGCACAATAAACTGCCCAGCGAGGGACTGTTTTGTATGTGACACCAATGTATTAAATTCCCCTTCTTCATCCTGATCTGGCCTTTTGTTTTTTGCCAAGAGGCAGTGATCTCTTCCTCCTCCGTTGATGCCATGACTGAAATGGTAAGAAATGGAGGAATTTGTCACGAGCGAATTAAACTCAGGTCCAGTGTGGCTGCGGGAGGGTCTGGAGATTTCCTGGTGGGCTGGTCTGATGTGTGGGCTGCAGGGCCAGCGCTCCCTGTTTTTTTTTTTTTTTTTTTAGATCTTTTTATTAACAACATATAAACACAGAACACCACTGCGGCTGAGGCTGCCAGGGCTCGTTTCTTTTTCTTTTTTCCAACCTGTCAATCAATCCAGTAGGCGTGTCAGCAAATGACCAATCGGTGACCTCAATTTGTCCCGAAGGTAAACACCCCTTGTCTGTGAAGCTGCTCTGCAGCTGCTCGGGGTGTACGCTGGAGTACGAAGTCTGAACCCTCTGCGTACAGTACACGTGTACGTACACGTGAACGGATGTACGTGGGAGTATACTGGGGCTTTATCAAGACAGCTGTGGCTCAGTGGTTAGAGCAGTCACCCTCCAGTGGGAGTGTTGGGTGTTAGATTCCACCAGCAGTCACATGCTGAAGTGTCCCTGGGCAAGACACGGAACCCCTCATTGCTTCTGATGTGTGTCCCTTCAGTGTCTGAATGTGATAAAGCTCTGATTAGTGTCTGCAGATTCAGATTATCTTTGTAGAGATGTAGTAGAGTGCTGTATGAATGTGTGTGTTTGGAGGTAAATGAGGCACAGATTGTGTTGTAAAGAGCTTTGCGTATCTCGATTAGATAGAAAGGAGCTATATAAGTACAGTCCATTTACAATTACTTATGCCTGTGGTTGAGATTGTTCCTCAAAACATATTCTGGGGACTAAAAGTGTGCAAGGTGTTTGTTAAAATTTTGCCATTAACCATTCTGACTTAACGCTGCCTGTCTGTTAGCAAAATATCTCAGAAACCGCTGAATGAATTTTCTTTCAGGAAATATTCTTTGGAAGGACCTCTACAAGTGAATAACTTTTACTGTAGACAAACACAATTCAAGATGGCTGCCGTGGCTAACTGACCTTACAAAAGCCCAAATTAGCTATAATTCTGTCAGTTTTTCAAATGTGCCAAAAAAATGTTGTTGTTGTAGTTGAAAACCATTCACACATGATTCAAGAGCCACTCATTGTGTAAGATCTTTGCTTAAAACTTTGGTGCACGAGGCATTGAAGCATACTACTTTTATTTCACCTCACATTTCCCCGAGGTAAAACCAACCCAGCACGTTGATGCACTGACCGTTACATCCTCCAGGTCTTTGCCCAGCTCTGTGGAAGCTGCCACTGCCTCACGCTCAGTGATCCATTTCTCTAGCTCCTCTACCTCCTTGTGAAGCTGGTAGAGCCAGTACTGTTGTTCCAGCTTGGCCTTTCTGTGCTCCACCATGTCTTTGAGTGACACATACAGCCGGTCTATGTGGGACTGCTGCTTTGTAATCTGCTCACTGTGGAAAATTAAGAGAAAGAAAGTGAAACAACCACAGGGAAAAGAAGAAACTAAAACAAAACCAACAAACAGTAAGTAGGTAATGCCTACTTGATCCTGCACAAAAATTACTATGAAAAAATAAATAAATAAAAACTAAAAAAGTTAAAGTGTAGGGTTCAAGCCCCACCTCTCCGGGTGTCCCAACTCCAGTAGACGCTGGCATTGCTGGGACAGCATGCCTACTGTCTCTGCATAGGTTTCCACTGTTTGTTCCAGAGTCAGGTGGGCCTTTAGTAGCTGCAGTGTACTTGCCTCATCCTGCGATAGTGTCACCCAAAAAGAGCAAAAATATAACGTATAAAAGGAAACAGTATACAAGCATCTAAGATATACGCTAAACACTAATAATGTAAAACAATTTGGTATATTAAACGGTTTATTAAACAGCAGCCTGAACTTCTAGGCTGGACTAGTGTAATTCTTTGTTATCTGGGTGTGTAAAAGTCTTCAGTTGATCAAAGATGATGCTGTTAGAGTTCTGATGAGAGTTGATAGGAGAGATCATATCTCTCCAGTTTCTCTCAGCTGACTGCCCGTCAATTTCAGAATAGAATTTAAACTCTTACTTTTAAAATATAAAGCTCTCAACAATCACGTTCCGTCTTGTTTTGAAGATTAACCGAGCACTGTTTTTCCAGACTGCAGGTTTACTTGTGGTTCCTAGAGTTTCTAACGGTAGACTGGGAGGCAGAGCTTTCAGTTATCAGGCTCCTCTCTTTTGGAACCAACACAGCTTCTGTCCGTGAGGCTGACACCTTGTCTACTTTTAAGACTTTCTAATTTGATAAATCCTACAGTACTGGTTGGCTTGGTTTCCTGTAGTGTGCTGTTATAGACGTCGACTGCTGGAGGACAAACGGACTACGTTTCCTCACGGTGTCACTGTATTTACTTGATCCACTCCACTTGTTTGTATTTGTAACTATATGTACCATTAACATCAGGTCTCTCTTGTGAATGGGTCCCCGAGGCTCAGTGGGATTAACCTGTCTAAATAAAGGTGGAATGACAAAACATGTGTTTTTCTTTTCCTTTCTACCTGGACCTGCCATTCTGTTTGTCCACGTCTCTTTCCTGTCCACACTGATCCCACCCAGTCCAGGCAGATGGCTGACCATCCTGAGACTGGTTCTGCTGAAAGTTTCTTGCTGTTAAATGGGAGTTTGCTTCTCAGGATTGAAGACTGCCAAAACTTTAAGATTTGATGCAATCTGCTGACTTCCTTAGGTAACTTTTACTGTTTGGTATTTTATAATATATGTAAATAACTAATTTACCTTAAAATTAGAAACAACTAGAATAACGATTGTAAATGGATTTAGATCTGGAACAAAATTATGATTTGTACTTGTTACTTGTTTGTGCAGTGCCCTGAGATGACTTTTTGCGAATCAGCAGTATATAAACAAACCACAAAGAATAAAATTCAATATAATAGAATAGCACAGAATAGAACATCAGAATTGTACATACTGTTCCTTTTTCTTCACTGGCCACATGGAGCTTCTGCCCTGATAGCCAGGACTCCACTTTAGCTGCCTCACTGTAGTACTGCTGAGCCTGTAGTGCAGCATCCAGCATCACAGATCTCCTTTCTGTCTCCAGCTGCAAAACCTCCCACAGCTGGCGCACATGCCCCGCCCCTTCACGCACAAAGTCCACCTCAGGAGTTCTCAGTGAGGCAATAATTCCAGCCCGGTCTAAAACCTCTTCAATTCGTGCTCGCCTCCCTGTCAGCTCTCGTTGAAGTGTCTGCAGGACAAATCAGAAAAAGTTCCAGGACAAGCACAGTTAGATCACCTTTCAGCTGACCATAGGCAGATGTCATCCTTAGTACTGACCTGGTTCTTTTTCAGATAGTGCTGTACACTCTGGAGGTTAGTTCCATAATCCTTGCAGGAGGCCAGGGGAAGCCGCTCTTGGATCCACAGCTTATGCACAGACATGCAGGTCATTACACTTTTTAAAATGAACATTTAAGAGTTCTACATCAAAGATTCGGCATGGGCACTGCAGCAAGGACAAGGTATTTTACTGTTTATCGCCCACCACAGGAAACAAAGGTGATAATGTTTTTGCCTGTTTGATTATGCGTTTGTAGTTTATGTCATGATCACATCCTCTGTCCCCTGCCTCGCTCACAGCCTTTCATGTCATGTTTTCTGCTCCTGTCATTAAGCCACACCCACTCTTCTCTCACAGATTAATTAGGGCTTATGTCCTACACCTGTTCCCCGCTCTATTTAAGATTCACTCTCACTCTAGTTCCCCGCCAGATTATTGTACTTTTCATGGTTCCTGATATCCAGCCATTCTTGATCATGCTTACTTCTTGTTTTGATCTTCTTGTCTCAACCTCACACCTGTCTTCTGGAAACCTGACCTGCCTGCTCCTTGCCTGTTATTGTATTGTCCTTCTGACCACATTACCGTCCTCCTCTTCTGATCCAACAACTACGATGCACAGATTCCCTTTTGGATTAATTATTGGAATTCTGACTACCTGTGCATGACCCCCTGCGTTTCTGAACCTTGTTCATGGATGACCCTTTCGACCAAACTCTCCTCAGCTCTGCCTTGCAGCTGCGTCTCACTCAGTGACGGTGACGTCATTCTGCCCCACTTCAACAGGTGGCCCCCACCTCGCCTGCTTGAAAGGCTCTAACGGGTGTGAGGACCTGGCACTACAGCTGGATCCTGACTCTTTCCAGCAGCTGCTAATCAACAAAACTGTATTCTTTGTTTTACACTCATGTCTGGCTTTATTCTGATTCCAAAACCCTGAACTCCTGACAGTTTAGGCAAATTAGCTAAGATTTATATGTTAGTATCATAAAGTATTATTTAATATATCCTCTGATATGAATATGGCATGGCAAAGTGAAAAACATCAATTCAAGGTTTGAAAACATGGCCACAAAATAATTTTAAATCAGATAAAGTCAGTGGGCGATATGCATTCCTTTAATTCTTTGTTTTCTGATTAATTTTAGTTAATACCCATATACCTATAAAATGTGTAACTGATCAACTAGCTAGTGCTAAACTGCATATTCATGATGAAATGCATGTAATAAAGATTGAAAAACTCACTATTTCATCTTCCAGATCCTGGGCTACTTGGTGCATCTCCTTGGAGGCCAGCAGGATGCGACGTCTCTCCTTCAGTGGCTCAATCAGTCGAACGATGCGGGTCTCCACTTCACCCAACTGCTCAGCGCCCTCTTTGTCACCTGCCATCAGGCCTCGCTGGGGTACGCTTAGCCCCTGCAAACTTCCTAACTCTCCCACATCCTTGTAAAAGTCCCCAATCTGAGATTCCATAGCCTGTGCCAAAAATATTGAAAGGTCATGTTGCAGCCACAGGATGGAGGAACAAACACATCGGCTGTTTTCTGGCAGAAAATTGAAGATCATGTAATGATTTAGCTTACTTTCAAAAAAAGCAAATGTTGCATTTTTGGATGTTGTGGATGACAACATGCATGGCTGACGTGCATGCACCACAGTGCTTAGGGCCATCAAAGTCCAATAAGATTAAAAAGACCGTGCCTGAAACACCAGCTGCATAAAGGCACTTCATTATGAGAGTTTATTACCTTTTAAGTAAAAATTTGGTTCTGTTTATATAAAGCAGTCCTTCTCAAATAGTGGGGCACGCCCCCCTGGGGGGGCCCGGAGCAATGCCAGTGGGGGGCGCATGTGACCCCGGGGAACATTTTGCGGCAGGGATTAGGTTATTTATTTATTTTTTTGGACTATTCTCGTTTTGTCAGGTGCGCTCGGCAACTCTCAGACTCACTAATAATAAAGTTATGAACATTATTTCTGTCTTGTCGTTTGGGAGCCGTGACTGAACCGTGTCGCTGTGACACCTCAGCTGGTGACGCTCTGGACGCTCGTCACCCACAGCACGCACGAGACAGAGAATAACGCGTTACCTGCCCCTCTTCCTCTTTTACATTAACAATATTTTTTAGTTTGTCAAAGCACAGTTTGTGTGTTTTTTAATACAGAAGTAATGTTTAACAGATGTTAGGACTCTATTCTTTGCTAACAGGTCCTCTGCTCTGGACGCTCGTCACCCACAGCACGCACGAGACAGAGAATAAAGCGTTACCTGCCCCTCTTTCCTCTTTCTTTCCTCTTCCTCTTTCATGTTGACATGTTTTAGTTTTGTCGATTGTCAAAGCACAAGTTTGATGTTTTTTAAGTTGTTGTAAAAACAGATGTTTAACAGATGTTAGGACTCTATTCTTTGCTAACAAAATATATTTTGTCATTAAACAACTTGTCAGTTTCTTCTCCTGTGAGCGCGTTCCCGTGGACCCCCCCATTCTTGAGCTCCTTGCAGCTTCTCTGCTGCTCTGAGTCCAGGTCCAGGTCCAGGTCCAGGTCCAGGTCCAGGTCCAGGTCCAGCTAAACATGGAGCAGGAGCTGAGAGCTGCAGGATCATGTTTCAAACTCGGCTTCAGAAATCTGTGCACTGCAGCACGTGCTCATTGTAGCCATTGATCCTGACTTCCTCATTTTGATTTAAAAAATCTGCACAAATTGTTTTATTCATTTTTGTTTTGTAGGTCAAAGTGTTTTTTTAACACCCCTGACTTAAAATGTTGCTGATCAATTTGAATTCATTTTTATTTATTGATTGTATTTAGTTTGATTGTTCAGTATCAAATGGTCAAAATGTTTACAGTTTGAATAAGGTTATATATTTTATAGTTTCAGGCAAATTTCTGTTACAGACTATAAAACAATCTAAAAAAGTTCAATCTGGTCCTCTGGACATTCAAAAAAACAAAACAAAGCAACAAAAAAATGTAGAAACGTTTCGTCTCTCATCCAAGAGACTTCCTCAGTCTGAGGTGCTGTATTCAGCTCAGTCTGAAGACTGAGGAAGTCTCTTGGATGAGAGACGAAACGTTTCTACATTTTTTTGTTGCTTTGTTTTGTTTTTTTGAATGTCCAGAGGACCAGATTGAACTTTTTTAGATTTTTCTACCTGGATTATTGAGCATGCATCAGGATACTATAAAACAATGTTAATAATCTTTGTTTAAGTTGATCTTTATTTCTTTCTTTATTTAATGTTAATAAGGACACAATGTTATGCAGAGGTGTATTTATAACAATTTTTAGACAAATTATACTATTTACAGTCGCGGCAGAGAGTTGGGGGGGGGGGGTGCAAAATGTTTACTTCTTCCTTGGGGAGGGGTTAACAGCAAATAATTGAGAAGCACTGATACATGGGCATGTTCACCACAAACTCCTTTCTGGTGCAGTTTTAGAAAGCCCTTTATGATACTTTACAATGATGTCAAATGCCAGGAACAGCAGCTGGACGTGGCAAAGAACAGCCAGATGAGAGGCAAGCTGCTCCCCCCCCGGACAGGGTGCTGCTCCTTTACAAGTTCAAGTCATGTAGGTTTGTTGTCATTTCACCACAAGTGGTACACAAGACGGAATGAAATGGTGTATGCAGCTTCCAGTTACATTCAACAATAGTACAAATATAAAGTGTAAAAAGGAACAGTAAACTAGAGAAAAATAGCATTTCCTGTGAAAATGCCGTGTGAGTGCTTGTTGCTGAAGAATGTGCTGAAGGTGGGAGGTGTAGATGTCTGTGATGTGGGGACACTGACTTGGTAAGAAAAACATTTTAGATCTAAAACTGTGTCACATGTCGGACAAACAGAAATACCTACAATATTAAGTGACTCAAACACTATAGACTAAACAGTGGCAGTAAAAAAGACGGTAACTCTTTACAATAAGGTACACGAAATTTGATTAACTACTATGGAACGTCTCAGGAATGAATCAAGAACAAATCAGGAATTAATAGGTAGTTAACCAGTACTTACTGGGGAACACACAGCCACGCCCTATTAGAGAACTACTGGTTAGTTACCTGGTAAATGGAGGAACTAATCAAGAACTAATGGGTAGTAGTTACTAAGGAAACTAAAGAGGAACGAATCAGGAGCTGTGACCTCACATGGAGAATTTATCCTCTGTTTCTGTGGTAACAAACCAGTAGTCCCCCAATTAGGCTTGGCTGTGTGTTCCCCAGTAAGTACTGGTGAACTACCCATTAGCTCCTGATTTATTCCTGAGGCGTTCCCTAGTAGTTAAGCAAATTTTGTGCACCTTATTGTAAAGTGTTACCAAAAAGACAAATACATGTCAAAATTGTCTTGTGTTTTTTTCAAAGTATTTTTTTACAGACATACTCATAAAAAAAAAAAAAAAAAACTAGACTGATGAGAAAAACAAAGTTCACCCTCTTCCAGTTTTTGGGTTTTACACATCAGGAAATATAAAAATAATCTGGACTTTTATTACAAAAATGACTTCAGATTTAGGGAAAACATCCTTTTTAATTTTATGTTTTTAATTATGTATTAAATAGAAACTAAGCCAAAATGGAAAATGTGTGAGACAAGCACTGGTTCCAGTCCCTGATCTAGCAGCTTGCAGGACCTCCTTGGCAGCAGGAACTTACACCAGTGGTTTCCTGTAGACCTTCAGCTGGCTTTCACATGATTTCTTGTTTTTCAGTGTTGCTTCAGTTCACTGCAGTCCATACATTTGTCCCTGCACAGCTCTCGTAGGGTCCCACCACACATTTCAGTCAGGTTCTGGACTTTGACCGGACCCTTACAACACCATGATTCTGTTCTGTCGGAGCCGTTCTGTTGTTTAGGATCGTTGTTTCATCATGACCTAGCTTGGCCAAGCTTCAGCTGTTAAACAGATGGTCTCACATTTGACACTAGGATTCTTTGGTCTACAGAGGAGCTCACGGTCAACTCAAGGACTGCAAGGAGTCCAAACCACAAGTCCTGATGTTGATAAGCTGTTTGGATATCTCACAACATGGTGCTATGCATTATGGGTAAACATGTCTACTTTGTCCTGATGCATGCGCAGCATGTCTGCTTTGGTTTCATTTTGTTCCAGAAGTCTTGTTGTTCTTTCCGATGAAACTTTACAAACCTAAGTCGTGCTTCCATGTTGTTTTTAGACAGCCTTTCTGCTGCAACCTTTAGTCTGTAACGTGCTAACTGAGGCCTTTGTGATCTAATATGGAGCTCATCTCTCTGACTGTGAAGATTACACAGTCTGACCTTTGGGTGAAGACTGGCTGCACTCCTAAATGTTTCCCACATGCTAATAAACTTTCTCTCTGTAGGATGACGGACTCCAGAATGTTTAGAAATGGAAATCTATCCTAGATTGAAGGACAACCACAAGGGTTTTCTAAAGTCATTGCTGATGTCTTTCCATCTTGGCGTTGCGTTAACACACATCAGTATGCTGTAGCATCAAATTCAGCATTGGTCTCACTGATAATGTTTAGTTGTTCAGTACATTTGATTATCAGTTCCCGGCTGATACTGAACCTCTGAATTCCTGTGGACGCAGCAAAGATGAACTTAGTTTTTACTCACAGCTCTACCAGTTTTTGTTCAACCTTTAACAAATACCAACATGCTGGAATGTGATGTGTGGGTAAATGAACTGCCCTTATCTAACACTCTCTATCTTATCAAGATACTCAAAGCTCTTTCTCTACAAAGAATAATCAGAGCTTTATCACATTCATGCACCGATGGGACACACATCGGAGGCAATGAGGGGTCAGTGTCCTGCCCAGAGACACTTCAGCATGTGGCTGCTGGTGGAATCAAACCCCCAACTTTTGCAATGGAGGACGACCGCTCTAACCACTCAGCCACAGCCACCCCAATATTAGAAATAATAATTTAAAACCTGGTAAAGACCAGATTATTGTCATTACGCTCTGATGTGAAAAAACTATCATAAATGAAAGATGATGGACTTTATCCTGATGCATGCTGGACATGCTGGACATGCTGGACATGCTGGACCTGATGGACATGCTGGACCTGATGGACATGCTGGACCTGATGGACATGCTGGACCTGATGGACATGCTGGACCTGATGGATGATGGACTTTCATTTCTTCATGACTGTAGTTCCCCAGAGTAACAATGAAGACTGTTTTTAAAATTTCAGCTTCCTGAAGTAGGCACTACCTACATCATTTCAGTTTTTGTAAGATCGCATCAAAAGAAGAGACATAGTCAATTGTTTTTTTTGTTCTTTTGGAGTAACCCTGGAGGTTTTTAAGACTCACCTGGAATTTCTGGAGCTGTTCATTAAAGGTGGGCAGATGGTGTGCCTGCTCGAGCTGCGGTGGCTGCTGCTCCAAATGGGACAGCTGACTGTCAAGGTCTGAATAGCTCTTGACTGCTGGCTCGGGCTTGTTATTTTCAAAAAGCTGGCGGGCCTTAGCCTTTGTTGTGGTCTCCAGGTCGGACCAGCACTCCCTGATCTCCTCCAGCTTTTGCTGCACGACCGAACGTAGCTCCGGCTTCTCCTGGATCAGCTCTTGACCCTCCTGGATGAAGGAAAAGAGCACACTGGTTACATACTTGGCACATACCAAGTACATACAAGTTAAGTACTAGTACATACAGTATACTAGGTAAGTATATAGTGCAGGGCCATATTGTGGATTCTTACGTAAACATCAGGATTTGAATGACTGTCATGTGAGTGTTTGAGTTTGTTCTCCTCACATGATGTCAGGTTCTGCCTTAAGGCCAAGCTCTGATGTTCCACAAACCAGAAAACTATGAACTGCACAACCGGATCTGTGAACTCACTACCATTTTAGATTTAAACACTGTAGCATCTTTTGCAGTTATTGAAGTGATTTTTATTATTACTACCTCTTATATTTTATCAACAGTATTTCTAACAGAACCCATCCCAGGTAAAGCTTTGTCTACAGTACAATAAAATATATCCTGATGCATGCTCAATAAAAGAAATAAAATATGTTGTTATGCAACAACGTTCTGCCTTTCAGGACGGAGAGCTGAGACGATCACAGATACTGCTCAGAAGGAAACGGGCTCAAATCCGTTGTCTGCCCAAAGTAGTTTGGTGCGACAGATGTCCGTCCTGAGGTGGGAGCTCCCTGCCTGCACTGAAGCCGGTGCACGGAGCAACACTTGGCCCCGGGCCGAACTAAAAATCATGCATGGTATGACTAGGAACCCCCATCATGAGCCTTGGCTGTGCATTTCTCCTCCTCTTCTCTTAATTATTGTGCTCTTATATGGCAGGAGTTAAATAAAAGCTTGCAGCATTGTTTTTTGTGCAAAGTCAGCATTTTGTAGGAACAAAATAAGGACAGGAAGGAGAGTGGATAGTTTTTCATCCGTGACAGAATTTAGAGAGTTTAACATACAGTGTGATTACTGGTTACACAAAATAATGATGCATTTGTTTTCATCCTCATAAATATGTTTCTCTGTTATACAATAGTGTGAGATGAAGGCCGTCCTCTACGAGCTGCTTGTCTCTCAGTTCTCATCCAGCTGGACCTACACTCCATCTTATGGCTCTCATAATGCAGCACTGCATCCCTTCTGTTGGCACAGCGCTCTGCTTAACTGCTGCTAGTGCTCACTTTCTGAACAGCCCTCTCTCACTCCTATCTTTCCTCCACCTTTGCTTTCCCTCCCATAATGCAGAACCAGCAGAAAAGCAGGCTCTCATTCTCTCCTGCTTCTCTTCGGCTTCACTGACACACAGGGTGAGGCAGAGGAGGGGGCTCAGAGAAGAGAGGGGGGAAGCAGACGAAACGAACACAAAGAGGCAAGAAATGGAAGAAAAGGGGTTTATGGAAAAGGACTGAGGCTCTGGTGCTATGACCTGCTTATAGTTAGAAACAAAGGGCATTTGTGAAGAGCCTTTTTGGAACACAGTGAAGACAGACGTAGTGCAGTGTTTTAAAGAAGAGCCCAGATTTATCATGGCAGCCACGTGCAGACAAATTCTGTTTTTGCCATGCTGACACAGATTAACTAAGCCGTAGGTGAGATGAAAGCTTTTATTTTTTAAATAAAATATGAACAAGATAATTTCACACACATTCCCTTAACACTTTTGTCCACCTATTTTGTAGTGTTAAATTATTTAACAGTTTTCTGTATGCTGTGTCTTCTTCAAACCCAAATACCAGATTTTCCACAAGATGTACAAGTTACAACACAGTTAAATCAAAGTATCTACTTTGTAATTAAGGTATGGAGGCCAATAATCATGTCCACATTTCTTTCAGTACAAGCAGTGCATGCTAGTTTCTGATTTCACTACATGTCGTGATAAGCTTGAGTAAAAAAGTAAATGATCATTTGCAAAAAATACTAAACATTCCTGCAGCATTTGTGTCCATGGAGCCAGCTCTAAAAGTTTGAAGTTTTCATTGCAGATCCATCTGAAACAACGCAACATGTTACGTCATGCCTACTTTTGCAACAAGCTAAGCTCAACAGTTTTCAACCAGTTCAGAACGTGACACCTACATAACAAAAACAGATAAACACCTTCTCTACTCTGTCAATCCTTTGCCACAAATTTAAAAAGCACCAATTTTCTCAGTACAACTATCACATTTTATCTTTAAAGTATGTCATTAAGAATAAGAGTTACTGGGAGAGATCATCTCTCTCCAGTTTTAGTTTCTCTCCATTGGCTCCCTGTCAAGTCCAGAACTGAATTCAAAATCTTACTTCTAACCTACAAAGCTCTCAACAACCTAGCTCCATCTTATATTACAGATCTTATTGTTCCATATTTTCCTAACAGAGCACTTCTCTCTCAGACTGCAGGTTTACTTGTGGTTCCTAGAGTTTCCAGCAGCAGAATGGGAGGAAGATCTTTCAGTTCTCAGGCTCCTCTCTTGTGGAACCAACTTCCAGTTTCTGTCCATGAGGTTGACACATTGTCCAGTTTGAAGACTGGGATTAAGAATCTCCTTTATGAAAAATCCTATAGTTAGGGTCGGCTTGGGTTTCCTGATCTGTCCCTTAGTTCTGCTGCTTTAGGCTTAGACTGCTGGAGGACAAACTGACATTTCCTCTGTCTGTTGCTTTTTTATTTGCTCTACTATGTAATACATGTTTGCATTTTGTATTTATTTCTATCTTTAACACGTTTGTTCCCATAGAAACCACACCTGGACCTGTGTCCGTCTCTCTTTCCCAACTTGTCAAGGCAGAATTTGTGTGTTGCATAATTATTCCTTCCTGTAAATATACCAATCAAACCAGTCATTAATAGGCCCCTAATTAAGAATAATTATATCTATGATGGGTGTATGTAATCTTCTGACAACTTTTTTAATTCGTTCTGAAAATGTTTTTTTGTTTGAACATTACTTGCTTGGATGGCACAGTTACAAAAACAAAGTCTTCTTCTGATGGATTTTAAGGACACCCATGTTGCACAACAGGGAGGTGTTCAGTCGATGAGAAATTACCTTGGTTTTTTCAACAAACTAGTTCTGGTGCTAAGCCAGACCCAAGTTTGCTCAACACCAGCCTTTTCTGATTTTACTACTGTAGTCTCGTGGTCTGACAGAAAACTCTTGGTGCTAAAATGGTACCAAGTCATTGCTGGGTCGGAGTACAGTACCGTCTTTGTATGTGGTGCTGAAGGGCAGGTTTATGAAGACCAACAACCAACTGATGTGAGTTTACAAACACCAAGATAGGTTTACTACCACTCTGCTTGAATTAGGACAAAATAGTTTGCTACAGTGTAAAAAGAAGTTGAACAAGCAGTGCAGCATCCTACGTGTCTTTTATCGACAGTTTGTGTGTTTTTTATGTCATTAAAAGATGTAGCACATCACACCTTCCTTTACAATCAGAGTTTTCTTTGAATTACTAAACAAGGTTCAAAGCACTTTTTATAAATATTTTCAGCTCTTTTAATACCACCACCTGGTATTTATGGATCCTGTTTGAAATCTTTGTAACTGTTGTTTTTAACAGTGATTGTAACTAAGATCAAATGTGCCAGTCAGCACAATGTTCACGTGCACCATCTGGAACTCTAAACAGCATTAGCAAAACAGACACTTAACATTGAGACATCTGTCTGAACTTTGCCGTCAATGGCAAAGTTTTAATCTTGTGAGATCAGACAGCTTGAAGAACCTGTTTGGGGTGATGCTCAGTGATTATCACACCAAAATTTAGGTCAATATCTGTAAATTTGGTCAAGGATAGCTATTTTTGCATTCAATAAAATTGATTGCTTGATTGATTGATTTTAACATCTTACCTCCACATCAATCTGGTTTCAGGAAACAACACAGCACAACCACTGCCTCACTGAAGGTTCTTAATGACGTTGTTGAAGCACTGGATGCTAAGGATTATTGTGCTGCACTTTTCTTAGACCTGTCTAAAGATTCTGACACTGTGGATCAGAACATCTTGTGTCATAAACTCTCAGAAACTGGTTTCTCAGAACACACCATTGGTTGGTTCTCTAACTATCTTTCAGACCGGAGGCAATGTGTTCAACATAATGGTACTTCCTCCAGTTATTTAACAGTCAACAATGGTGTACCACAAGGCTCAGTCTTAGGACCCACCCTCTTTACAATCTACATACATAATGTAGGTAAAAACATCCCTAATGCATCCATACATTTCTATGCTGATGATACAGTTGTTTATTGTCGAGCTAAAACAGTTGCTAAGGCTTTCCAGCTTTTGAATTCTGCATTCAACATCATCCAGACAGATTTGTTTCACCTCAAACTTGTCCTAAATGCTGACAAAACCAAAGGGATGCTTTTTTCAAACAGGAAGTTGGTCCAAGCAGTTCTTCCTCCGATTTTATCCTCAAATGGTGTCCCCATTGAGTTTGTTGATTCCTATAAATATTTGAGTATCTTGGTCGACTCACATCTCTCTTTTAAGCTCCATGTGGAAAACTTGGTAAAGAAACTGAAAGTTAAACTGGGTTTCTTTTTCAGAAACAAATCCTGTCTAACCCTGAATGTTAGGAAACACCTTGTATCTGTGACTTTCCTTCCCTCCATTGATTACGGTGACATTATTTACATGAACGCTCCTACAAGAACCCTGCAGATGTTGGATGCTGTAGATGTTGGATGCTGCAGATGTTGGATGCTGTAGATGTTGGATGCTGCAGATGTTGGATGCTGTAGATGTTGGATGCTGCAGATGTTGGATGCTGTCTATCATGGTGCACTAAGATTCATAACTGGCTGTAACTACCGTACCCACCACTGCACCCAGTATTCACTGGTTAACTGGTCATCATTAACTTCACACAGACTCTCCCACTGGTACATTTTCATCTTTAAATCACTTCTTGGTCTGCTGCCTTCATACATCTCCTCCTACATGTCTCTGTGTGAGTGCAGCTACGGAGTGCGCTCTCAGGACATCATTACCTGCAGTGTTCCCTCAGTGAGGACTGAACTAGACAAAAGGACCTTCTCCTATTCCGCTCCTGTTTCCTGGAATATCTTGTAAAAAGATTTGAAGCTCTCGACCTTTGACC